GACACATTCCAGGCAAGGTCACAATGGCATTTTGTTGCCCTCAATGCTGATTTTCACTGCGTGGGCAGATCTGCTTTTTTTCCTGATATCTGTGAACTTTCTCATCTGTTTATCCAGTCGACTGATACCCTTCTTGGAGGTCGCCTGAAACTAAGAGTGAGGGAAAAATTAAAGAGCAAACTACTGAAATACATAAGTCTAGTTTTGTCTTTCATCTTCTTATAACTGAAAGTTAGCAACCAGAAGAGCTCCTAGCTCTAGAATAACCAGAACGTGTGTTGATGACCTCAAGAACAGAGCCTACAGACTGTTCTAATAGTATAATAAGAAACGCATATTAAACTCTCAACGAAGAATAATTCTGTTGTCTGTGCTTTATTTTTAATTTTGCTGCAGTCCATGGAGGTCTCCTAGATGGGAGAAAGGGGGGGAAACAAACTATGATTCTCCGTATTCCATCATGTACATTACATTTTAACTGCATGCTTCTCCCTTTCGAAGACCAAATGTGGCGCTAACCACTTGACATACACTTTCAAACAGTGCTGGCATAGAAAAGAATGACCTAAAACAAAGTCAAGTCAGCTGAGAAAAAGCCTTAAGCGTAATAAATGAGGTTAGATGATTAGTAAAGTGAACCCCTAAGTGCGGGAGCTCTTGAGTTTTTAGACTTGGGGTGAATCCCTGCTCTGATGCAGTGACTTCTGTGACCCTGGGCAAAGCACACCCATGGTAGGTCCTCTTTCCAGAACTGCTGAGAGAAGGAAATGAGATAGTGATGTCAGATCCAAGCACAGAGGCTGAGCACATATAGTCAGTGTACAAAATAGTAGGAGCTATTACTATTTTACTATTTTACTACTTCACAAGCAACTAGATTACATTAAGTATACTTGACACAAAAAGAATATTAAGTCTTTACCCACTTGCCCTTTATGTTTAAAGGTTTGGTTTGGGGGCTATTTTATATTGAAAATACTGTCTTGCAAAGATGTGGTCTCCAAGAAACTGCCATCTTTTAGAAATGCTAGAAAGGTTTGCCGACTCTGTTGTAAAACAATTTAGATGTTTAAGAATGGTGAGTGCTTAAAAAGAGATGGGTTGGCCGGGCGCGGTGGCTCAAGCCTGTAATCCCAGCACTTTGGGAGGCCGAGACGGGCGGATCACGAGGTCAGGAGATCGAGACCATCCTGGCTAACACGGTGAAACCCCGTCTCTACTAAAAAATATAAAAAACTAGCCGGGCAAGGTGGCAGGCACCTGTAGTCCCAGCTACTCGGAAGGCTGAGGCAGGAGAATGGCGTAAACCCAGGAGGCAGAGCTTGCAGTGAGCTGAGATCCGGCCACTGCACTCCAGCCTGGGCGACAGAGCGAGACTCTGTCTCAAAAAAAAAAAAAAGAGATGGGTTTTTCTAATTCTTCTCCCCATACGTTTACGAATCACCTCTGAAACTCAATTCAAAAGAATGCTAAAATAAGGTGGGGCCTGGGAGACACTCTGGGGTCCATACCAGCCTGGTGGGCTTCTTTCCTGTCCGGTAGCCTTCCAAATCTTATCCTACCTCTGGACCCAGCCTCAACCCCAACATGAAGCCAGCTGAGCACTAGGCAAGGAACTCGAAGTCATTCTTGATGAAGAGCCATGTTGACCTATCTTTCTAGGAATATCTCAATTCAAATATTACTCTGTATCAGTCTCAATACTTGGTATTAGTACTCTGAGTAAGCATAAAAAGTGTCAGATGAGAAAGAGCTATGCCACCATCGCACTATCTCCCGGATCTCCTGGACAGTCCCATATATCTGACTTCCTTTCAGAGGATGTGCCGTGATCTTAGTACTTGTACTCGGTCAACATCGGAAGCTTTACCTGCTCAAATCTCTGCCAACTACACAATTCCCAGCAGCTCCACACACTAATTGGACTCTCCTTCGCCTACTCCCAGGACCCTCACTAACTGTCTAAGCCCTGATGGATCCGTCTAGCCTCAGCAATCAGGACACACCCGGACCAGTGGGTTACAAAATACATGACTGGTAGTTGCAGATGCCTAGTTACTCCAAGTTTGAAAAGACAGACCATAGTACCTCACACACCGAGTTCAATGATCTCCCTCCAGATTCATCAAGGGAACACTACACTTCCTTAGAAAGTCAGAGTGTGTGCTACACTGCTTCACCAGAACAAGACCAAAAGCAGCTTCAATTATGGCACAACTGTGTGAAGCCACAGTGCGAAATCACTCAAGAATGCTTACTCAAATGGATTTTTACCATGGTAAATAAAAAACCCAACAAGGTATAAAAGAATATGATCACAATGTCTCTTGGGAAACAAACAAACAAACAAACAAAAACCCAGTAATATTGTCTATGCATACATATAAAAAAAAAAAGACATAATCTAAAATGTTAACGTTAAGTTGAAGTGGTATTACACATGGCACTAATTTTGTCTGTTTTCTGTATTTTTAAAAGTTCATGAAAAAATAGCCATTGCTTTTGTCATTTTACTGTTATTTAAAAAGTATTCCATGGAGTAAATGAACATATAAAAAATACAATGTAGCACAGGTTACTACATTATTTAGGAGTAAAAAATCAGAAACCATAAAGGAATGAATAAACACATTATATTCATGGCCGGGCATGGTGGCTCCCGCCCGTAAGGCCAGAGGATCGCTTGAGACCAGCTTGAACAAGATGGTGAGACCATCTCTACAAAGAAATAAAATACGTAATAAAAAAAAAGCAAATTATAATTTGGTCATTTTCTGTGGGTGTGTACGTGTGTGTGGGTGTGTGTATTTTTTTTTTCTTTCTAGAGATAGGGTCTCATTCTGTTGCCCAGGCTGGAGTGCAATGGCAGGATTCTAGCTCACTGCAGCCTCAAACTCCTGGGCTCAAGTGATTCTCCCACCTCACCCTCCCAAGAAGCTAAGACTACAGGTGCATGCAACCATGCCTGGCTAATTTTTTAATTTTTTGGTAGAGATGGAGTCTTGCTATGTTGTCCAGGCTGATATTTAGTATAATTTTAATTAATGTCATCAGTAGAAAAAAAGACAACAAATATGTCAAACTGCTTTTGAATGCTAGGACCGTGAATAATTTTTCTCTTAGTACCTAAAAATTTTCTATAATTATAAAAACTAAGTTCAAGGCATATCTGGAAATACATTTAAAACCTCAAATTATTGGCCAAGCACGGTGGCTCACGCCTTAATCCCAGCACTTTGGGAGGCCGAGGCAGGCAGATCACTAGGTCAGGAGATTGAGACCATCCTGGCTAACACAGTGAAACCCCATCTCTACCAAAAATACAAAAAATTAGCTGGGCGTGGTGGCGGGCCAGCTGCTTGGGAGGTTGAGGCAGAAGAATGGTGTGAACCCAGGAGGCGGAGCTTGCAGTGAGCAGAGATCGCGCCACTGCACTCCAGCCTGGGCGACAGAACAAGACTCGTCTCGAAAAAGGACAGAAGGGCAAAAAAGAAATGGGTGCAGGGGACATGGAGAGGTGGTCAGGGACATGGATATGGGCACAAGTAAGAAAGAAGAAAAGGAGAGAGAGGAGGAAGTTCTTGGCACAGAACTAGTCCTTCTCTACCCTTGATTTATTCTCAAGAAATAAGAAAGTACATTTTGTTTTGATAGTCACTTAACAGCAACATGAACTGGCAGGTAGGAGAGTGGAGTCAGTGGAAACAGCTGCCAAAGCAGGGGTCATGGAGAAGCACAAAAGGCAGGCAACACACAGACTGTATGTACTCCACAACAAAGGTGCCACTATTAATCTCAAAGCACAGCGGATCAGTGAGTCGGGCTTATGAACGTTCCAAAGTCTTTTTCATTTCTGACCACATTGTGAGTATGGGTTAATCAAATTCATCTCCTAAATATTTAGTGTAAGGCTTTATGCAATGAGTCCTCAAATGCATGTTGCTGAGCCACTGACAGCAGGAAAACAAGCTACTTCCCACCGAGAAGCCGCTAACCAGTTTACAGCCTGTAACACATATCACTGTAATTCTGGGTCCTAACAAAAACCTTTTTCATAAAAATGGGCACCAGTCAGGAAGACCCAAATGCATATTAGGGAAGTAATTATCTATTAGTCTCTAGGATACTGATAAAGAAAGGGGCTTCCATGTCAAAATTTCTAAATATTCAAGAGGCCTTGCATAGCCCAAGGTGCCTGTTAGGGTCATTATTTCGAAACTAAAAGCAGACGCGGCCTCTTCTGATTCAGAAAGCACACACACACACGTTTCACTCTGACCGCTGACAATTCAAGCCCATGCACAGTACATGCTTCCTTGGGAATACCTCTCGTGTACACACTCTGGCAGGGCCAGGCCTACAGGGGCATCCTGTTGCCTTCAATGCTGAACTTGACAGCACGATGCACTTTGCTGAGTCGTTTCTGTTCTGCAAATCGCCTCTTATGCTTTTCCAATCGGCTTAGGCCCTTTTTAAGAATACCGGGCTAGAGGCAGTAGTTTGATTGGAGAATAAAAAGAGATTACGGAGAAACACTGAAGATCTACTGAGCAGTATTTACAGTGATAACAGAGTAAGCATCTACCCTAATTATTGCCAACGGAATTGCTTAAACTGTCTAAGAGAAAGGGAGAGGTAGGTCTGCTGAAGCATGTAAGCTCTGTTTCTCATGGTTATTAAAAAAAAAAATTCACTGTATCAGAATACACCAGGTTTCAATTTCAAGCCTCACTTGAAGGGATTAATAAAAACAAACTTCTCTACCTGATAATGTTGTATTAGGTCTGAAGAAAAGTTCATCAGCAATAAACTTTAATCCTGGGTAAGACTTTTCCTTTCTCTATTGCTCAATTTGTGGTTTGGCTAGATAAGCGACCAGAAAACAGTCCTCTCTGAATCAGACAAGCCTTAAGAGCTACAAGGGTTATTAACGCATGAAGTAAAGAGTAAAATAGTAATCTGCAGGTGAGATCCACCTTGCCGATCCTCCACTTGCTTACCCTGGATGACTCCATTTCCACATTCCATTTGGGCCTGACCACATAGTCCTTGTTTGAGGGCATTGGGACCCTTGCCCGGGCACAGAATCCAGGATCTCCAGGTCTAAGAGCCCTGAAAAAGGGAAGAGGAAGAGCATGTTGCTTATGTGGCCAACCACACTGGGGCACACAGGCCATTTCGCACTACTGTTTCTACATCCACCCATTCAGCTGCAATGTTCGAAACTGCTCTGCTCCCCACCTCAGGTCACCCAATCCACCCTCTTGCCGCCTCTCAGCTAGCCTGTCACCACACACACTCCAGTGTGCATTCCTTGCTTCTCTTCCAAAGCCAACTTGCTCTGCATCTGCATGAATCATTTTCTCCTCTCCTCAGCTTCAGATATACTCATGCCCCTCTGCCTTCCAAGGCTAGTCCCACCAGCATGAATCCCTTTTTCTCTTGTCTAGTGGAGTCACTCATGAGTTCACTTGTGAGATGAGGAACTGTGAAGAACTGAGTCGTCAAATGACCCCCCAAAACTCTCAGTATGCCCATAAAGTAGTTTTTCAATATACAACTCCTACAGTAATTTTTAATGTTTATTTTTGTAAAAATCTTTTGAAGATAATTACAGATTCAAATGAAGTTGTAAGAAATGATACAGAGAGAGATCCAATGTCTCTCCCAATAGTAACAACTTGCAAATCTACAGTATAGTATCACAACCAGGATACTGATGTTGATACAGTACACAGATCTCATTTACACTTCCCCAGTTTCACTTGCACTCATTTATGTGTATGTATTTAGTTCTATGCAAATCCATGGGCAACCATGCTAGACTAAAATAAGATTACTAACCTTCCAAAGTAAAGCCTATCTATAGATGCCTGGGCATTCAAACCATTCAGCCTTTAGGTAACTAGTAAAGAGCGGATCTATGTGTGTCTATTGGGGATGGGGAGAGAAGGGTAAAAAATTCTCAATTGTTTCTATTCTCTTGTACAGTTTACCGCATTTTTAACCTTAGACTTTTTCTTTTTTTTGAGACAGAGTCTCGCTCTGTTGCCCAGGCTAGAGTGCAGTGGCATGATCTGAGCTCATGCAAGCTCCGCCTCCCAGGTTTGTGCCATTCTCCTGCCTCAGCCTCCCAAGTAGCTGGGACTACAGGTGCCGCCACCACGCCCAGCTAATTTTTTGTATTTTTAGTACAGATGGGGTTTCTCCATGTTAGCCAGGATGGTCTCGATCTCCTGACCTCCTGATCCGCCTGCCTCAGCCTCCCAAAGTATTGGGATTATAGGCGTGAGCCACCGTGCCCAGCCAACCTTAAATTTTTATAACCTTCATATACGTATGAACAGGTTAATTGGCTTGCCAAGAAAATTCCCTGTAACTCTTACTTTCCTTCTGAAGCACGGCCTCATCATCAACTTCCTTCTAAAACAAACTTGCTTCCTCTGGCTCATCCCCTATTCTCCTCTTGCAATCTGGATGCTGCCTGACTACCAACTCACCTGCACAAAGCCCTCTGCAGCACCTGCCACTGGCCCATGCTTTTGCCATTGCCACCGCCAGCTCAGCCTCATTCCCCTCCAGGCTCTGCTCCAACACATAGGACCACAGCTGCTCATTCACCTTCACTGGCTACTCTGCCTGGCTATGCCCCCTTTCAAAATGGTTTAGTTCATTTCTTACTCTATACTTTCTTGACTGAACAATCTTTTCTATGGAGAGAACCATCAAATCTAGGTCTCTAGCCCAAACATCTCTTTACAAGTTCTAGACCCATAATATTTATAGGACTATCTCATTGGGCATCTCACATTTAATATGCTCAAAAGAGAACTTGCCTGTTTCCTCAAATCCACTTCTCCCTCCATTTTGGTGAAAGGTAATGACACTGTCTCAGCACTTAGGTTAAAATTTTGGCTGAAGTCTTTAACTCTAGACATCTTCTCTCCCACTAAGTCACCAACATATGACAGCTTTGCCTGTGCAGTATCTTCTCACCCCTCTGTTCCCCCACTACCACCTCTGTTTAGCTGTACCACTGCCTCAGTCCCACTGCCCTCCAACCCATCCTACATGATGCCATTGGCATCAGCATCCTAAATCAAATCAAACCAGATGGCTTCACATCCAGTCTCAAAAACTTTCTGTGGAATCACAAGGCATGCAAAAATTCCTCATCTTGATTCAAAGCCCTTCACTGGTCTATTATTTCCAACCTTATCAGGCCCCATACTACTGTCCAACCCCTTCAGTCTACTTGTCATTCCAAACACAGACCTGGCACACTTACCCCATGGCTTTACCAAAGACCTCCCTTTGCCTATCATCCTTGTAAAGACTTATACTTTTTGAGAGCATAGACTATTTTTGTTTTTAAATTCTCAGATCACAACAAGGAATCTAGCACTTAGCAAGCAGCAAAAAAATCTTTGAATGTTTTCTCAATTTTCCTTACATCCCCAGAGTACCCAATACAATGCTTTGTAGATACTAAACGTTAAAATGAAAGTCACCTCCAGTGAATGAGAACATAACATCATTTCATTTACTACTTTTCTTAAAGCAGCAAACGGAAATTCTCTACATAGTCTAGGAAGAAGACTTAACATTAAAACCTTACTTCTCCTCTCCTGTCAGCACCTTTTCCAGGTCTCTTCTGGGTGTCTGACCACCAGTGCTGGAAAAAAAGTAAACAAGGAGATACCAGGAATATTAGAACCTAATATTGCTCAGAAAAAGAGCAAAAGAGCAAACTAAATATCAAACTTAGACCATAACTATTAATAGCTCTTTTACGATGGATCAGGGAAAATAACTCCTAATCTTTAAAAAGTACTACTCATTTTAGTATTCATCTGCATAACAGGTTTCCTTGTGGGTGAGCCGTAATTGCCATATTTGTAACTAATGACCCTGTCCTCCTAGATGCAACTGTATGTCCACTATATTGATACAAACCAAACCTATAACATTTTTTATTCTAGGAACTCAGAAATGGGACCCAGAAAGTTGTTTTCTGCAGGTGGCTGGAACACAAGCAATCAGTACCGTTAAAGAGGCTCTGTTCCAACAAACTGACCCAGAAAGGTCTGGTTAGGAGGACAGGACCCTGACTATACACTATCACATTTAAACTAAAAGGATATTGTGCATTATGTAGATATATCAAGCTGAGAGGAAAGGAAATTCTATCATCTTGCAGCTTTCCTAATGATCTTACTTAAAACTGAGTTACTACAACAATAACATGTATTCCACTTACTCATACCTGTTCCCTCATACCTGTTCATTCTTCGTCGTTGAGGCATCTGTTCTAGATCTCTCTGCTCCCTTTCTTCTCTTGTCATTCCTTTGTAGTTGGAGGTAAGACCAAATATAGGCCTAGACCACTCATCTGTAGTAAGAAAAAAATCAATTATTTTGCCCATAAAATTGCATTTCCTCTACCATTTTTTTCAAATAATTGCACCCTAGTGTGAGGGGATATTCTAGACATTTAGAATATTCTTTCCTTGAAGAGCCCATTATTTCAGAAGAATTTATAGGATAAACAAAGCAAAATGCCAGTATCGTGACTAACTCTGGCTGATTCAGAAAATTTAATGTAAAAGATCACCACAGAGATTTAAAGAAAGTAACATGTGACACACTTTGATAGTCAACAATTAGCTGGATTGACATTTCATAAAAGACATTTATTTAAAATTTTTATTTATTTTAAAAGGTAAACTAATTTCTAAGTTTACTGGAAATACAAAGTCTTGAAATTCTGCTTTCTTATCCTAACCCAAAACAAGCTCCCTCACCACTACCTTACAAAATGGTCTATATCTGTAAAAACTACAGTTTAACAGTATGGATGGAGACTCTATACTTCATTAAGTCTAATGTAGCTGCTACAATGACCATGAAAGAAAGTACATGCCACTGTTCAGTCAGTCAAAGTCCAGGAGCCAACTGATGCCTTTGTTCTGAGACATAATGTAGCTTACCGCTACATTTAATACACTATACAAATAAGAAAGGACCTTTATAGACCGAACATGGGTGCTGTCACACAAAGAAGGAAGCAGGGGTTCTCAGGGGTCTATAATCTTTTAAAATCGCCCCACTGACCCCACTTATGGATTCAGAATCACCGCTGTAGTGAGTCATGGACACCAGTAGGGATATTCTGCTTTTCTCAGTCTGGGGCAAAAAAAGAAAGTCGCAAACCCACTGCATAAAAGCACCAAAAGTTTCTCACTTAACAGGCGGTAAACTGCAGACTACTAACAAGATCAAAGACAGTAGTATATCTGTTTTATAGAAGAAATTTACATTTCTCTAAAAGCTTTTGACAAACTTAGCAATTCAAAAGAAAAATAATTATTATATTCAAATGTAGTAGTTACTTTTTCAATCTAGCCTTGAAATTCTTAAAATTCCTTTTCAACATGGAGCATAGGAAGAGTTAAGAAGGATAACAAAAATGAACACGGGTTTCATTCTTAAAACTGGATAATTTCACAAACAATATGCTTGATCACATAAATTTTGGTTTAGACTTCTCTGGATTTCTCTGGCATCATTAAATAAGAACGTGCAAAAAGGTTCTGGAGACCAATGTGCAAGCAACAACAACAACGGGGGCTGCTTCTTGAGTACTTACTATGTGCCAGGCACCATGCTTTAGACACAACCTCTCATTTAATCTTTAAAGTCACCCAGAAGAAAACACATAATTATCTCAATTTTACAGAGCACAAATCACTCGCTAAGGAAGCGCAGTAAGGTAGGTGGTGGATTCATGATCTGAATCCAGGTAATATCAACACCACAGCCTGCAATCTAACCCCTCTCTCTCCATGCTCTCGACCCATGACTAGAAAACGCATACTTTTTACTTGCGATTTTTTTTTTTTTTTTTGGAGACTGAGTCTCACTCTTGTTGCCCAGGCTGGAGTGCAGTGGCGCGATCTCGGCTCAGTGCAAGCTCCACCTCCTGGGTTCCAGTGATTCTCCTGCCTCAGCCTCCCATGTAGCTGGGACTACAGGTGCGTGCCACCTCGCCCGGCTAATTTTTTGTATTTTTAGTAGAGACGGGGTTTCACCGTGTTAGCCAGGATGGTCTTGATCTCCTGACCTTGTGATCCACCCACCTCAGCCTCCAAAGTGCTGGGATTACAGGCATTAAGCCACTGCACCCAGCCTTACTTGCTATTTTTAATAATGAATAGTATACTTAATTATACTTAGAAGGTTTGTTTTGTTTTGTTTTTTTAAAGTCTAAAAGAAAAGGCTGGTGCCTGTAAGAAGCTATTCAAAAATTTCTATTCCACTTTACTGACTCATTCAAAACAAATACTAGTAAAAATACAGCTTTTATATATACGCATCTCTCTCTTATCTACAGACATAAACACAACAAACGAAAAGGAAAATTTACATACTGATTAATTTCCCTGCCATGTCCTTGTTGGACCTTGATTCCTTGGGGTGTTTATAGAGATACATCACTGCTCGTCCAATCCCACTATGCTTCAGGGTCTCCTGGCTCACACTAGGCAGCTGGGGAACATAAACACATACACACACATTAATCACTCAGAAGCTGGGGGTCTTGCTAATCTATACTAGAGACCTGGCGCCTTCACAATAGTACAAATAAAAAATTCCATTTTCAGGATCCACAGAAATAGAGCACAAAGATAACTTTGTGTCCACATCAAAAGTTCAGAGTTCAGGCCGGGCACGGTGGCTCACGCTTGTAATCCCAGCACTTTGGGAGGCTGAGGCGGGTGGATCACCTGAGGTCAGGAGTTCAAGACCAGCCTGGCCATCATGTGGTGAAACCCCATCTCTACTAAAAATACAAAAAGTGGCCGGGTGTGGTGGTGGCTGCCTGTAATCCCAGCTACTCGGGAGGCTGAGGCAGGAGAATCACTTGAACCTAGGAGGCGGAGGTTGCAGTGAGCCGAGATCGTGCCACTGTACTCCAGCCTGGGAACCAGAAGCGAAACTCCATCTCAAAAACAAAACAAAACAAAACAAAAACAAACAAAAACAACAACAACAAAAAAGGTTAAGAGTTCAGTATTACAGCTGAGTTGAAGTAAAACCTAACAATGTGAGAAAGTATGAACTAAGCATACTTAGAGGTTAGCAGTTTAATACAGGAGCCAGCATAGGCCTCAGAATCCAACAGACCTAAGACTGAACCCAAACACAGCCACCTTCTAGCTATGTGACCTTGACAAGTCATTTAACTTCTCTGAATCTAATTCCCTCATCTGTAAAATGGAAATACTACACCTACCTTGTCAGTTTACTGTGAGGAAGAAACGAACCAATACATATATAAAGCACCTGGCACAGTGCGTGGCATAGGAGACTCCTTGGGAATTGCTTCAGAAGTTAAATAGCTCAACCAAGGTGTCACAACTACGTAAGGTGGCCCAGCTCAAGGTTCAAATGCAGGTTCCTATGACTCTGAATTTGGTGTTCATTCTACGCCACGTCTCCCCAGAACTTGCCCACTACTGTACTACTCTTCTCAGCCACATCACAGCTGCTCTAAGATCTTTTCCCTGCAATGCAATAGTTATATGAAGTTTTATAAGGTCTTCCCTTTCACGCTCATTTTACTAGATATGTTCCTTTTTTCCAACCCCTCTTCGGGCAGGCTGTAGCAGAGAGAACATACACAAACACTGTAAACTACACAGGTTATGACCACACAGGCCACAATAGATAATTAATAAAGAACAGTCAGATGATCTGCCTCTAACCTCTTGCAGGATCTTCAGCAGCTCCTCCCGGATCTTGAGTGCAGGCAAGCTCCTGTCTGGTAGGGGTGAGAGCCATTCTTTGATGGCAGACATCACACCGCTGTCAATGAATGTTTCTTTAAGGTCCTGCCTGCAGTAATAACAAGAATTTTTAAAAATTCCGTGAACCTTGGTTCTACTGTATCTTCTGACTTTTCTTACATATTTAGTGATGTTTCTAAAAACTGCTTTAAAAAAGTTATTCATATAAATTTGGTATTTACTGAACACCATTCTGGTTTCAAAAGCAGTGTGACATTTAGTTCTTATCTTCCAGAAACGCATATACCTGACAAAAAATGATTTGCTGAAAACAAAACAAACTCAAGTTACACAAGATAAATTAATGCTGATATGAATGGTACAGACAGTAAGAACAATTAACTCCAATCATTTCAACTAAAAAAAAAAAACGTTCAATCTATCGAAATAGTGATTATTGAAAAATTGTACATGGTGGCGAACCCAGAATTGCTATTCTCTGCAGGACACCAATGAGACTAGCACTCTACTGGCAGGACAGAAAACAAACAAACAAACACAAAACACCCTCAGTAAAATAATACTTAAATTCCATTTTATGTACTAGAATCATTTATGTTAACAGAAAACAAGACATTATATACAAAAAAACCTGCCACAGATAGTTTTCCCTGTTAGAATAGAGGGAGAAATTTTCTGGTTACAGATGCTCTAGGCCATGCTGGTGGTGGCTCACTGATGCACCAATACATTTCCTCAGTCATCAAAAGCAGGCTATGGCTTAGTTCAAAGGGAAAGCAAGGTTGCTCAGAAATATGAGCAAATCGGGGCCCGGCGTGGTGACTCACACCTGTAATCCCATTCCAGTACTTTGACTTTCGGGTGTAGAGACAGGAAGATCACCTGAGCCCAGGAGTTCGAGACCAGCCTGGGCAACACAGCAAGATCCCGTCTCTAATTAAAAAACAAACAAACAAAAAAAAAAGCAAATCAATGAAAAAAGTTAGAAACAAGGATCTACTCAAAAAGGGCATCATTACTTCAGAAGGACCAATAATTGTGACACATTAGAGTCATATAAGCCTTGGACAATGCAGCCTTCAGGTAGGGTCTTCCAAGATTTTCTGTTTTCCATCACACGGAGAAAACAAACGTAATTTTACCAGACCAAAAACTGCCTATAAAGAACAAAATTAGTGGCCAGGTGCAGTGGCTCCTGTCTGTAATTCCAGCACTTTGGGAGGATGAGGTGGGAGGATTACTTAAGCCCAGGAGTTCAAGACAAGCCTGGGCAACATAGCAAGAGCCTGTCTCTACCAAAAAACAAAAACAAAAACACACAAAATCAGTAGTTTCCAAGTTTTTCTTTCATTAGTATCAATTTTTTATTTGTTCTGTTTGCACCAGGCATCAAAGTTTAATAAAAGTTTATGAAGAAATATAATTTAGGAAATTTTATTCATTATCTTTCTGTGAACTGATAGAAGGCTATCATTATTTAGTATTCCTAGAACACCAGTACATCATTTGAATTATCATTCCATGAAAAAGGAAAAAGACATTTTAAAGAAAACAAAACACTTACTTCTTAAGGTGCATAACTACAGTAGGCAGTAAAGTTAATTTTTTCAGTGCCGGCTTTTTTTGATTGTTCAACTGTCTGTCTTCCTATTCAGAAAAAAATAAAGATTTTTTTTAAAAACAGTACTCATTGTTAATATTGAATTCACTGTAATTCTGAACCTTAAAATAACAGTTTTTCAAAGAAACAATTTTTCCTATAAGAAAGAGTAACTTAAGAATGGATCTTTTGCAGAGCACCAAGCTCTGTATCTATGTCAGTCAAACCCACAAAACTATTAGAATTGCCTTTAACAACTACAAGTTGAAAGAAACCATTTTAAGTTAGAATATTAGCATGATTGTCAAGTTTTCAGAGTTCATTAAAGGTACAAATTACAACTGGGAAATTTTGGTTTATGATACTAGGAACAATTTTCCAGGTGTGAGGTTATATGATATTGGAATATACTATATCAAAGAAGAGTTTCAGTATTTACTTGGGCAGTTTTTCCTATTTTTTTTTAGTTATGAAAAATTTCAAATTCTACAAATACAGAATGTAGAATAATATGCCTGTTGCATACATTTCAACAATTAAATACACACAACTAGTCTTCTTTTAGCTACTTTCCTCCATTCTTGAATTGTTTTGAAAGAAATGCTAGCCACAGATCATTGAATCCACTGCTGAACTCTCAGTAAGTGTCTCCAAAAGATCTGAAGTTGTTTTTTAAACATACTACTGGGCCAATTTTTGTAAGTTGAGCAGATTTTTACAATGCAATGGAAGAAGCCATGTCTTGATCAGGAGCAAGAGAACAACACATGAATTTGTAACACCTTTAATATATGAAGAAACTAAACTTTGTGGTGAACTAGCCACATCTGAGAACAAAACCATGCCCCATGAAACTAGCAAAGCCATTCACCTAAAACGTTTCATTTTACTGAATATTTCATCTTTTCACTTTTTCTAAACATGTGACTAAAAAATTAAAATATTTCCATGATTAAAATTTAGAACAGTAAATGCTTTATTACAAAAAGCAAAGCATCTTAACTGTCATTTAAGGGTTAAGCATCAAAAAAAAGGCATCCAATAAACTCAGTGGGAGGAAAAGAAGGTGAACCTAGAAGCAACACAACTCACCTCAGCAGCTTCGTTCATCTTGACGATCATGGCGCTCACGACGTCGTCTGCGTCACTAATAAAGGTGCCACCATCACGGTTCCGTCTGCGCTTGCCACTCATGCTCTTTTTTCGCTGCAACATCATCTCAAAATCCGACAGAAAGTCCATACTAAAGCAGTAAACAAAAGCAAGTGAAATACAAGTTGTCTTTTAAATACACATTTACTTTCACCACAATTAAGAACACCAAATTTCTTAATTCTAACTCAATGAAGTGCTACCTTCTTTTAAAAGTGCAAGTACAGTCATGCGCCGCATAACGATGTTTCGGTCAATGACGAACTGCGAATACGACGGTGGCCATCCAGTAAGCTAAGGTTAACTTTTTATTGAAGAAAAAAATATTTTTTGTAAATTTAGTGTAGCCTAAGTGTACAGTGTTTATAAAGCCTATAGTAGTGTACAGTAATGTCCCAGGCCTTCACATTCACTCACCACTCACCCAGACCAAATTCCAGTCCTGCTTTCATTCATGGCAAGTACCTTAAACAGGTGTACCATATTTTATCTCACACACACACACATATATTTTAAAAAGTTGGGGTGTTGCTCTGTCACCCAGGCTGGAGTGCAGTGGCACAATCCTAGTTTACCGTAGCCTCAAACGCCTGGGCTCATCCTTCTACTTTAGCCTCCTAAATAGTTGAGACTACAGGCCCATACCACCATGCCTGGTTAATTTTTTAAATGTTTTGTAGAGACAGGGACTCACTATATGTCACCCAGGCTTGTCTTGAACTCCTGACCTCAAGTGATCCTCCTGCCTCAGCCTCCCAAAATGTTGAGATTACAGGCATAAGCCACCACGCCCAACTATACTGTATTTTAACTGTACCTTTTCTATGTTTAGATACACAAATACCATCGTGTTACCACTGCCTACAGCATTCAGTACAGTAACATGCTGCACAGGTTTGTACCCTAGGAGCAATAGGCTTTACCATACAGCCGAGGTGGGTAGTAGGCAATACCATGTAGGTTTGTATAATACTATGATGTTCATACAACAGCAAAATCACCTAATGACACATTTTTCAGAATATATCCTGTTAAGCGACGCATGACTGTACTTACAACTTGCTATTAAAAGAACAGTTGATCCTAGACTTTATGTTCAATTCCTGTACTACCCTGTCATATATACACATGTAAATCACTAATAGCCCGGAACTTCTCATGCACTATATCCACACTTGCATCTATCGGTTTGAGAAAGTACATTTTAAGTTCCAATTGAGGGGACTCATTCAGCTTTAGTGGCACTGCCCTTTCTTGGACTAGGAAGGTGTTCATTATCTGAATGCTGTTGTCTTATACATCATGAGCAGAAAAAATGAAAAATAAGCTGCCGCTTTTCAGTGATAAGAAGTATAACTCTCAAAACATAATGAGAGATACACATGGAAATCTATAGGCTTGCTAAGCGCCTCAAACCTTTATGGCTTTCTTCAGAATCATTCCACTTAAAAAAGAGGAAGTTATTTTCTGCCACTATCATATCAATTCAATTTCCAGAAGTACTACCAGACTCATTCGGTTTAATTACTGCATGCCGCTAGGAATTCAAAATGAAACTACTTTTTAAAAACATCTTTACAACTGGAGGCCGGGCGCGGTGGCTCAAGCCTGTAATCCTAGCACTTTGGGAGGCCGAGACGGGCGGATCACGAGGTCAGGAGATCGAGACCATCCTGGCTAACACGGTGAAACCCCGTCTCTACTAAAAATACAAAAAATTAGCCGGGCGAGGTGGCGGGCGCCTGTAGTCCCAGCTACACGGGAGGCTGAGGCAGGAGAATGGCGTAAACCCGGGAGGCGGAGCTTGCAGTGAGCTGAGATCCGGCCACTGCACTCCAGCCCGGGCGACAGAGCGAGACTCCGTCTCAACAACAAAAAAACAAACAAACAAACAAAAAAAATCTTTACAACTGGAAAGAGTAACTAATCCTTGTATTACTGTATAACATCTTTTAAGATATCAGATTTTTCTGAACATAGATTCCAACTAGCTCAACAAAAGTAAGTGAAATATGGTCAAGTAATATTTTGTAGTTAAGATGTTAGACTTACTTCCCCTGCCCCATAAAATCAGCTTTTCTCTCAAAAAGGTATTTTTAAAATTAGGTTATTTTTCATAAGAGTTTATTTGGTGAACCATAAATTAAGTCTGGTGCCATATAAATACAACTCCACAAAGAAAGACATCTAAGCACAGGCTAAATGAAAACAAGTAACAACAGCAGGTAATTCACTGACAACACCGTAAATGGAGAAAAATAGGAATAGATCCACTCCTAAACTTAATCGGGAACCAAAATGAAAATTTAATAGTCTCTACCTTGATTTTTTAACTTCTCTTTAACAAATTCCTTAAAAACAAACTTACTGTTTTCCTCTCTTTATGTTATCATCAGAATCTGAATCTTCTGCTTCTTTTACCTGTGTTTCACTTTTTTCTTCTTCCAGATCTTCTTGGTTAAAACCCTAAATGCAAAATTATCACAACCTCCTTACAGATTTTCTTCTGTATTAAGTGTTCTTAGTATTTTGCATTTTTAAATTAATTCATTCACAAAGAACAAAAATTCAATAGATATCAAAAGGTACATAACAAAAGGTCCCTCTCCAGCCACTAGTGTTACTAGGTTTCTTGCATTTCCTTCCAGAAACAGTGTACGTTTATATAAGCACTTCTACACACACTTCGCATCCTCTCTTGTTATACAAATGGAAGCATACTATTCAGAGTGGGTACGGATAATGCTCTGCATGTTCCAGATTTAAGAAAAGAATCTAGAGGCCAATGCATGTCAGTACTAAGTCTTGTCATTTTTTTCAAGGCTTTAGACTATTTCACAATATGGCTGTAACTATGATTTGTTCACTTATTTGCCTAGTCACATTTAGTTTTACGTATTTGAAATTGCGAAATACTTGCCCAACTGTATTCCATAGAGGTTATACCAATTATCTCACCAGCAAGCATGAGGACTCCTGTTCCCCTACGTCCTCACTACTATAGCAGGCTATCAAACATTGATATCCACCAATCTCTGGACGGAAAAACAAATCTCAGGGTAGTTTTATTTGCATTTTCTTACTATGGGGGTAACGTTGGGCATTTTTTCACATTTACAAAGCCATGTGTCATTCTTTCCCTGTGAACTCTGAATATCCTATGCGCATTTTTTGCTGGACTGTTCATCTTTTTATCACTATGTAAAATCTCTTTGAAAATTAGATATAGCCCTCTACAAGTGACAAGAACTGTACAATCCCCACATTTGTACAGTTTTTGTTTATGCTAATATTTGCCAGGCATAACTTTTCATTTTTATGTAAATGAAATGGCCAGTCTTTTCTTTATGGCGTCTACCTTTCGTGTTACACTTAGAGGCTTTCTCAGTGGTTCACCTAGTATATTGTTTTTCTCACTGAACTGAAACTATAACCAAGTTGATGTTAAGTCTCCAAAGTAGGTAAGTATACCTTATTCTTACAATATGGTGCTTAACTAAGTATGAGCTCCATGAAGGCAGTGTCCAAGCAGTCTCTGAGACATTTGTTGAATCAATTCTTCCTTTATATTTTCCTTAGGTTTACTTTCTTATTTCACTATTGTCCTGAATTTGATTCTAAATTCATCTACCTTCACTCTCTATTGCATTGGTTAAAAATAAGTATTGCTTTTTTAACCCAAGAACTATTTAAGCAGGCTTTAAGTTTCTGAGTGGCAAACAGATTGGAAAATATATACAGACACTTGATATATGACAAAGATGGCACTACAGAATAGTAGGAAAGGATGATCTTTTCAATAAATGGTGCTGGGTCAACTGGATACTCCAAATAAGGAAAAAAATCTTAACTTTTACCTCGTATCACATACGAAACCAATTTTAGGTGAATTATACAATTAAATGTGAAAGACTGAATAATCAAGCTTCTAGAAGGTAACTTGTATCTTCATGACCTTGGGGACAGGCAAAAATTCTTAGGCAGAATTCAGTTTTCACCATAAAGAAAAAGATTGGTAAATTTGATCCTATGTTAAAATTAAGCACTTTTGTTCATCAGAAGACTCCATGTTAAAGGAATGAATTTAAGATATTCTAAAAAAATTTAAAAGTTAAAAATTTTTTTTAAAAGACTCCATTAAGAAAGTGAAAAAGAAGTAACAAAATGAAAGGTATTTTTAACATTCATAACTGCCAAAAATGATTATATCTGGATTATACAGAGACTCGTCCCTGTTTTTTTCGGTCTGCTTCCTCTGTCAGTTACATTTCTCTTACATTATGGATTTGTCCATTTGTCTCTTTTCAGTTCTATCAATTTTTGATTTTTATGTGTGCATATATAAAGTCATGTTATTAGGTGCAAACAATTTTAAAATCTTTTTATCGATATAAAGTGACCTCTTTATCTCAAGTACTTTTTTTTTTTACCTTAATGTCTACCTCCCTCTTTTAAAATATTATAGATACCACACCAGTTTTCTTTTGGTCCATGTTTACATGAAGTCCCTTTTCATGTACCTTTATTTTCAGCTTTACCTTCTGTTTCAGACAAATCTCTTGAAAACAGTATTTGGCTGGTTTTTAAGATCCTGTCTGGCAATTGTCCTTTAACTGGAACATTCAGTATTTACATTTAATTTAATTTCTGATATTATCAAAATTTAAATCCACTGTTTTACCATGTAATACTTCCTACTTTCTAACTGTCCCTTGTCCTATCGTTCTTTTCCTTTCCTGCTCATTTTCGACTGATTAGCTCTAGTTGTTCCATTTTTTCCCCCCTCTATTAGTTTAGAAATTACGCATTCCATTTTAGTCTTTTTAGTGGTCACTCTAGAAACTACAACACGCACCCTAACTTATCAGTTTACTAATGTACGTTCATAGACATTCGCAAAGGCCTGCGAGCACTTCAATTCCACGTATGCTCCCAATTCACTGCTGTCATGTTTTCATTTTATATATATTCCACATTAAACACATTTCATTTTGTATAGTCAATACTCATTTAGACTTATACACATACTTTTGTTGCTCTTTTCTCCCTCCTGCATCTCTAACCTTCCATCTGAGATCATTCTTTCTTGCATTTCTTTCCTTCTGTATTTCCTTCAGCTGGTACATTGTTAATTAATTCCCTCCTTATTTCATCTTCATTCCTGGAAAGTATTTTGGCTAAATTTAACGAAATTCTAGGTTTGCCATTAGTAGATTCTATTGTTTCTGTTGTGAAGTCAGCTATTAGTCTAATCGTTACTTTTCTGAATGTATTTTTTTTCCTGTGGCTTTTACACTTTCCTATTTTCGTTGGTTTCTTGCAGTTTTATTATGATGTAGTTAGGTGTAGATTTCTTTTTGTTTATCTTCCTTGCAATGTGTAGAACTTCTAGAATCTATGGTTTAGGTAACATTTCTTTTTAAAATACTGCTTCTGCTATACATGTAATTTTCCCTCTCCTTTCATTATTCCAGTATTTGTAAAAACTTTTCATATATAGTCTATGTCTTTTACTTTTTTCTATAACAGTATATTTCAAAGCTTCATTCTAGATCCCTCCTTCTAACCTATCTTCCAGTTCACTAATTTTCTTTTCAAGTATGTCTAATCTGTTGTTAAACTCAACCACTAAGTTTTCTGTTTTTTTTCTTCCCTCCTGCCCTGTTTTTCTTTTCAAACAGGACCTCACTATTTTGCCCTGGCTGGTTTCGAACTTCTGGGCTCCAACTACCCTCCCAGTTACCCGCCGAGTAACTGGGACTACCAGCTACTTGCACCTACCTGTCCACCAAGTTTTTAATTTCAGTTACTGTATTTTTATAGTTCTAAATTTCTACTTGGTTCTTTTCCAAATTTGCCTTCTCCTTTTTAAATTGTTTGCTCTGACATCTTTAATCTTGTTTCTTATCTCCCTGAACATATTTAAGGTGATATCTAAAATTCCTATATCTAGAGCTCTATGTCTATTTCTATTGTCTGTCATTACTAGTTTCCTTTTAATGTTATTTTTGTATATTGTACTGTATATATGAAAAACTTAAACCACTGTCATCTTATTTCTGAGACTGAGGTTCTCTAGTCTGCCAGAAGATTCAAAGATGGCCTAAAATCTGAGCAAAGGCTATTTTACTTCCCCCTGAACCCAATGGTGCTGCTCTCTGAAGTCTCAATCCAGAGTATGGGGTTTACAAAGCCCCCTAACCTCAATAGGCCCCGAATTCTAAATTTTATCCCCAAGTCTTGAGGCTGTCAAAAATATGAGTAGCCTCTTGGCCTGACAGGTAAACACCCCCACAGAAAAAGCACTTCTAAACACTGAGTTACCACTTTAGGTTTCTCTTGGCTTAGTAATTCTTTGCTACTTTGTTCCTAGATAATGAGCAGATTTCTGTATATTTTGTCTAGCTTTCCTAGTTGTGCTTGGCAGAAGGGTTAGCGCAATCACCCAGAATGCCGTTGTGAAAATCGGAAGTTCCCCAATTACTGTGAATCTTGTCCTTTAGCATTATTAAGTGCCTTTCTTTGCCTCAATGTGTCCCTTCCCCCTTAATACAATTTTGCCCACTAGCTTCCTTTTATGCCTTTGTATATACCCGCTCATTTTACTTCCTGAATCCCTCTTCTAGATTTTTCTCCTGAATACATCGCAAAGATGTTTTTCTCTTGAATACATCCTACTTATTAGAATCATCTATAATTACATCACTGCCATAAAAACAACAAAAAAAGCACAGCCAAGGAGGAAATATTTCCATCTTATACTTACTGTAAATTCTTCTTCCTCTTCATCACCAGATTCTCCAAATATGTCTGCAATAAGATTTCTAGAAAGTAGACAAATATAAAAACATTCATTTGCTTTCTTCTCATTTGCATAGGAACCATTTTTTAAAAAATAGAATCTACATACAGTAAAATGTGCAGATCTTCAGTGTCCAGTTCAATGAGTTTTAACAAACGTATACACTCATGTAACCAGCACCCTATACACTCATGTAGCCTCCTGAGAAAGTTCTCTCATGGCCCCTTCTAGCTGGTCCCCTAATTTCAACATCCTAGAGACAACTGCCACCTTGACTTCCAACACCACAGATAAATTTCGCCTACTGAACTTCATGTAAATGGAATCACATATGTCCTCTTTGCTTTCTTTAACATGTTAATTCTGAGATGAATTCTGAGATTCACCCACATTGTAGTGTGTTCAGTTCAGGAACTAAAATACTAAATCCCCAAAGACATGCAATTAGGCAGGACATATTGTATTACAACACAGACCCCTCTGTACTGCCTAGTTAAGAACCCCCAAAAACTCATGTTACACTGTCACTTACTCTTCTTCATTGCCTGACTCACTGTCACTCCCAAACAGATCCTTCTCTTCATTTTTCTTATCAGACAATTCTTTCCCAGCTTCTTCCTCACTGTCAGATGCTATGGTCTTCTCTCTTTTGCCTGACTTGTCTGATACAGCATCACTGTCAGAGTCATCTGCATCAGAGACAACACGGCTCTTCTTTGCTGCTGTTGAAAAGAAAATCATCATTAATTTTATTTTATCATGGTCATTGTATTACCAAGCATAACAGATGCTTTAAAATAGCAGTATGTGGCCAAAAAAAAAAAAAATCTCAATCAAAGGGCCTCCTGACACATGGTTTAGAATTTTTAAAATAACTAAATGGCTCATTTAGAGTCATCTTACAAATTTTCTGTTATTTTACTTAAGAAAAAGTGGCCAAAAGATGAAGAAAGATATCATCAACGTAAAAGCAGTCACCTTTCCTTTTGGGGAATCAAGAAAATTAAAACTAGATTGACGGGCAAAATTGGCATCCTTTCTATGCTGCCTAGTAGCAACTGAACTAAAAAGGACTACATATTTCTTTCTAGGAATAGTCTCCACGTTCCTCTATCATTGCTGGTCAGTTTCAAATTTCCCATCTTCCTTAACAAATCGGCAACATGTCTGGTACCTTTTCCTTCTCCTATAAGAACTGTCAGGTTATAATGAAATATGTCTTTTCCAAAGATAAGTTTCATAAAAAAGTAAACAAGTAAAACTTACTATCTGTGAAAATGGAGTCTTAGGTAGCGGCGGAGACTGAAACACTCCAGAGAGAGATGGTGTCTCTAAATAGAATCCCCTCAAAGTTTCCCTGTATCTGAATATTCAACAAGGTTTAACAACCGTGGGAGCTCAGTTACTGATTGGATGGGATCTAGTGAACTAAGTGTCAAAGAGACCCGCAGCTCACACTGAATACAGTTAGGGGTTTTCACGTAAACATTTTTCTTTGAAACATTACCTCTTCCAGTTTAAAACAAAGTCTGAGTATTTTATATTCCTATTGACATGCGGTTTATCACTTTGAGGCAGTCAGAGATTAATACATGCTAACAGAACTCAAAGGAAACTTACTATTAAGCTTAGCTAATGACAACCAGGGGAAATGAGTGTCCTAGTGATATTTTAGAATATTAAGCTGAGTAACAGACTACAGATCTGACATACCAAGAGGATACACTGTTCCACAGTTACAAGCTCACACAATGAATAAAGCCACTGATAAACAGCCCGAGGTAGTTCCTTACATGCTTTCTCTCCATCCTCACTATCGGAAAGCACCGCCGCCTTTCTCTTCGCTACTTTCTCCTCCTCGCCCTCTTTCTCATCTTCATCACTGTCCAGTTTTTGCTTTTTGGGTTCTTCCTCCTCACTATCAGAACTGTGAAACTTTTTTCTGTCCATATGGCTGTCTGAGTGGAAGGAGTCATTCTGCATTTCTGTATCCTCTCCCTTATTCTCCCTGTCGCTGTCATCATCTGACTCTGGCTTCTGTTTGTGTCTGGACGCATCCTCAGTTTCTGAGTCACTGGCAGGTCCCTTCCGAGGCCCCTCGCTCTCAGAGTCACTGACTCGGGGTTTGGGTAGCTCCTCGTTTTCAGAATCACTGGCCTGGTTCCTTGGGGGATCCTCACTTTCCGAATCACTGATTCGGGGTTTGGGAAGCTCTTCATTTTCTGAGTCAGTGGCCTGGTGCCTCGGAGGGTCCTCACTTTCGGAGTCACTGATACGAGGTTTGGGAAGCTCCTCGTTTTCAGAGTCACTGGCCTGGTGCCTGGGGGGTTCCTCACTTTCCGAATCACTGACCTGAGGTTTAGGAAGCTCCTCACTTTCAGAATCACTCATTCGAGGTTTGGGAGGCTCCTCATTTTCGGAGTCACTGGCTTGGTGCCTTGGGGGTTCCTCACTCTCAGAGTCACTGATTTGAGGTTTTAGAGCATCTTCTGTTTCAGAGTCACTAGCAGGACTCTTCTGGAGCTCCTCAATCTCAGAATCACTGGCGGGGTGCTTCCCAACATCTTCATTTTCTGAGTCACTTGCATGCCCATTAAGAAGCTCCTCATTTTCAGAGTCACTCCCAGGCAATTTCCTGGTCTCTTCACTCTCAGAGTCGCTCCCGTGCTGATTGACATCCTCATTTTCAGAATCGCTTGCGGGAGGCTCTGCACGTTCCTCAGATTCAGAGTCGCTGTCCTTTTGCCTATGAAGGTCCTCACTTTCAGAGTCACTAGCATTAAGATTTATGGGCTCATCATTCTCAGAGTCTATCACATGATGTCCTTTGGTGAGGCCATCTTCTCGATCACTAGGTTCATTCTGAAAAACAAAGTGAAAAAAAATTAGGAAAGTGCAAACAAACAAAAAACCCTTTAATAGTAAAACATTAAATTTTTTCAGTGATTTTTTTTTTTTTTTTTTTTTTTTTGAGACAGAGTCTCGCTCTATTGCTGGAGTGCAGTGGCGCGGTCTTGGCTCACTGCAAGCTCTGCCTCCTGGGTTCACGCCATTCTCCTGCCTCAGCCTCCCAAGTAGCTGGGACTACAGGCGCCCGCCACCACGCCCGGCTAATTTTTTGTATTTTTAGTAGAGACGGGGTTTCACCGTGGTCTCGATCGCCTGACCTCATGATCCGCCCGCCTTGGCCTCCCGAAGTGCTGGGATTACAGGCACGAGCCACCGCACCCGGCCAATTTTTTAAAATATGAGAATATGTGCACCTAAATGGAGAATTCTTGTCCTATACCTATATAGAAATACCCCTACAGAAAGCCAATCTGTGAAATGGTTTTATCTGGATCCCCGAATGGGGAAATATAACCAGCCTTCATTAAAACAACTTTGCAAAGCATGCTCTCAGATTACTATAGAAAACTGACTGTGAAGAGCCAGATTTTTTTTTTTTTTAAAAAGGCGAATTTTCTCATACATACTTCTGTTTTGTAAAAATATAACTAGGCCAGACGTGGTGGCTCACACCTGTAATCTCAGCACTTTGGGAGGCCGAGGTGGTGGATCACCTGAGGTCAAGAGTTCGAGACCAACCCGGCCAACATGGTGAAACTCTGTCTCTACTAAAAATACAAAAATTAGCTGAGCATGGTGGTGGGCACCTTTAATCCCAGCTACTAAGGAGGCTGAGGCAAGGAGAACTGCTTGAACCTGGGAGGCAGAGGTTGCAGTGAGCTGAGATTGTGCCATTGCACTCCAGTCTGGGTGACAGAGTGAGACTCTGTCAAAAATAAAAATAAAAATAAATAAATAACTCTATTTTTCAAAGAAATACTAGCAAACATGTAACCAAGTTCTTTTACATAGACATATTCTTGGGTTTTATAAGGTTAAAATTATTTTATTTATTTTTTTGAGACGGAGTCTCGCTCTGTCACCCAGGCTGGAGTGCAGTGGCCAGATCTCAGCTCACTGCAAGCTCCGCCTCCCGGGTTTACACCATTCTCCTGCCTCAGCCTCCCGAGTAGCTAGGACTACAGGCGCCTGCCACCTCGCCCGGCTAGTTTTTTGTGTTTTTTAGTAGAGACGGGGTTTCACCGTGTCAGCCAGGATGGTCTCGATCTCCTGAACTCGTGATCCGCCCGTCTTGGCCTCCCAAAGTGCTGGGATTACAGGCTTGAGCCACTGCACCCGGCCAAGGTTAAAATTATTTAAGGGAAAAGAAACTATAAAATTTAATTTTATTTAAAGGGTCAAATAACATATGGGCACCTTCTCCCAAGATAATTTAAGCAAACAAAGAAAGGAGGAGTTAGCATTTCCTAAGTAGCCAGTAAGAGCCAATACCACAATAGGCTCTCTCCTATGGTACTTCTCATGATAACAAAATTGAGGCTTACAGTAGTCATGGTCCTGTGTTTAGTAACCCTAGAAATAAGAAAGCTTAAGTTTTAGGGAGAACGTGATTCATCTAACTACACCAACACATAATGTTACTTGAAATAATTACTCTGAAAACATGCTCTGGGGCACAAACTTGATATGTGCATATTATAGCTATGATTTTTAAAATGCAGAGGAAAAATATACAAAATTAAACATGCCAAAATACTAACAAGTGTTTTAGGATCCAGTGAATTTTGTCCCCATCTGGTAGCTCAACTTTAAATAAAATGGTAACAATATTCTAGCTTAAAAAGTGAAAGTATTTCCATGTTTGGGTATTCCCTCTAAAAATTTACTGAGCCAAATATTTGTTAGATACATGACTGAAGCTATGTGAACCTACCACAGACTATTTTCAAGGGACCAAAGAGCCTTTAAATAATACCTATGGCCAACATCATGCTATGAAACCGTTAAGTGACAAGATAATTCTTGTCAATGACAGGATAAATGGCATGAAAATGTTCTCATAAAACCCATACTTTTACTAACCCAAGTATGCTGTGTCTACAAATTCAAAAATAATATGAAAAATTATAAAATAAGCCTACAAGGCAAATGTTTGAAGAGTTTTTAAAATATTTTATCACCATTATGGTAGCACAGCATTGCAAAGAAAGAGTCAATGCTATACACAGTCACTGAAATATAGCACATTCAGAAACGTTTCCAAAACCATAAACTTTTCAAAATCCCTAAATACATTTTCTTGAGTTCTCACCGGGCACTCAGCACAGTACTGTATTGGATTCCTTGTCAGTCACGAGCTCTATTATCCCACTGAAACAGGCACTTATCTATTAAAACGGTATTAGGACTCGAGAGATATCATAGAATCTTACAATTACAGTACAATACTCTGTATGTTGCCTAAAGTTTACTTTAGCCATACTTCATAATTTAAAAGAATGCAGATGGAAAATTGAACTATCTAGATTGTAAGCTCTAGGAAGGCAGACATATTTTGGTTTGTTTTCCTGAGGTATCCTCAGAGTGCAGAATGCTCTCCAGTACATACACACACTAGGTAGAGTTTGAGCATTCCTAATCTGAAAATTCAGACAACTCCAAAATCTGAAACTTTTTGAGCACTGACATGACATCACAAGTGGAAAATTCCAAACATAAGCACCTAATACAAACTTTGTTTCATGTGAAAAATTATTTAATATAATGTATAAAATTACCTTCGAGCTATAAGATAAATGAATTTCGTGTTTAGACGTGGGTTCCATTGCCAAAATAGCTCACTACGTATAAGCAAATATTCCAAAACTCGAAAAAATTCTAAATCCAAAACACTTCTGATTCCAAGCATTTTGGATAAGGGATACTCAAAGTGTATTTGTTAAATTAGTAATAAAGGCGTTAAGTGGGAATAACATAAGATGAGGAAAAATTAATCCAACAAGAATGTATTTCATGTCTACTATGTGCAAGACGCCAAGACACCAGGCTGAGTATGTCTCAGGGCCTGACCTTACGAGTTGCTAATGAGGAGCCAGCCAAGCACACCGTAACAGTATAGTGTAACATGCACTATTCACAAAGTACGATATTTCAAAAGTGCACTGGAAGTGCATCTATATGAAACTGAGCTGCAAAAAAAAAGGTGTGCAGACAGTGAGCCAAGATCGCACCATTACACTCCAGACTGGGTGACAGAGTGAGACTCCATCTCAAAAAAAAAAAAAAAAAAAAGGGTGTGCAGACAACAGGCGTGTTTGCACGGAGTTTGTGATGGCTGAGTTAAGATGGGAGGGTGGGGAGAGGCATACAGTGCCAGCAGAGGCAATTAAAGCAGAAGGCAAAAAGGAAAATTGCAATTGGCTTTTGGAATGCTCTCCATGACAAACCCATCACATAACTCTAAGGCCATGTCTATGTGTGACTTGATTTATTTTAGTTGAAACAACAGAAATCATCTCTAGCTAAGTCCCAAAAAAAAGAACAATCTTCTCAGGATCAAAGTGAGTTGAATGACTAAACACTCGGGAAGGTTAAGTACCAATGCAGCACAGAGAGCTTAGAAAAGGGAACTCAAGGATCATTTTACTAGAGTACCATCAGTAACATGACTCAGCTATAAACTGTCTAGAATCTAAATTATAAATCCCCAAGAGAGACGACTTAAATGGCCAAGGCAACATCAGAAACTGTGACTCAATCAGTTACAGCTGGATCGGGGCACAGCACTGGGAGTCACTCCCAAAGAAGTGAGAGACACTGGGCAGTCATCTAAACCTCACCCGCTACACTCTACCCCAGGTTTCCTGATGCATGGTGTAGCATTCCAAAACAAACAACCCCTACAAGGACACTGCATAAGACAATGATTGTGAAATTTACGAATCTTCATTAATTTTTTATGAGTTTCATGAAAACACAGCATTATGTATGGCACGACAGGGCAAAAAAGGGGAGAAATAACTGCAGTAAAAAAGTACTAGTCTGATACACTCAAGCTAAAGAATACACTTAGACGACGACACCACAGAATTTGGGATGAGTATGCTGGAAATTATACAGTTAAGCTTAAAAGTTATCAAAACAATATCTAAAGTTTTTAGAGTGGTTTTGGCAATTAAATTGCAAGCTTAAAAAAATCCAAAAGACAGTTTTTTTAAAAGTCACATGAGTACAACAAATCAACAGTTGAAACTGACATGTAATGTAGTTTTTAAAATAATGTAAGACATTCCTAGTGGTAATGGTAAAAGAAATCGAGCAGTCAGAAGCTCCTTAGATGCTTTAGAAACATCTATAATGCCGGCGGGCGCTGTGGCTCACGAGGTCAGGAGATCAAGGCCATCCTGCCTAACACGGTGAAATCCTGTCTCTACGAAAAATGCAAAAAATTAGCTGGGCGTGGTGGCGCGCTCCTGTAGTCCCAGCTACTCAGGAGACTGAGGCAGGAGAATCACTTGAACCCAGGAGGCGGAGGCTGCAGTGAGCCAAGATCGCACCACTGCACTCCAGCCTGGGTGACAGAGCAAGACTCCGTCTCAAAAAAAAAAAAAAGAAGGAAAGAAAGAAAAAGAAACATCTATAATGCCTCATACCTCCTTCCTTAGCCATCAATCACACTGCAGTTATAAACAACTACTGGTTATCCATCATAATAAACAATCTTGTTTATCTCAGTATACAAAGAATAACTACACTTATGATGACCAGGGCCACAATACACAGAGAGATAACTGACATTCTTAAACGGCCAAGTAAATAAAACTGCTATAAATCAAATAATAATTTGTAAAGTATTCAAAGTATTACATTGTCAAATGGAAACTTGTACAGACCCAAATAACTCAGGACACTTTGTTTCTTCTTGACTGGTCAGAAGCGTCAAACTCAAAGTACCTGATGTTGTATATACTACTCTACCATTATAAACTGGAAAAACGCTCCCCACTAAGCCA